TTATAATAGGGCAAACAGAATGCAGTGGTAGACTCCAACGTATGGACTTCATATGCGAAATTTGAAATATACGTAAACACGTTTTAACCAATTTGAATTATTATATTTTCTAATGTTATATATCAAGATCAAATTTGACCCGGACTGGCCCATTTAAATCACGGCTATGGAGTTGTTGAAAATGTTTGACAAGTTTTTTCGGGAGAGCCCTACATTCGTCAAACGCAACATTACTGAATGGCGCTCGAAAAATGAATCAAAACCAAAAGAACCAAAATTCGCTGAAGATAATGAAGGCCATCCAAGACGAGGCCTATAACTAGTAAATATATTATGTCAGTACGGGTCAAATTTCATCACATGGTACGTTCTAATGAGTCAAAACTAATTTAGGGTTTGGCTTATGACGGACCCTTAGCCAAACAGGATCCCGAATGATGTGAAGTGCTTTAATTAATATGGGGTTTGAGATGTGGATATAATTGATGGAACTGTGAACGCGGTAAAGGGTTAGAAAATTTTAGACCAACATCTTAAACCATCTATTGAAGAACATTTCGTGTTTCGCATTTTTCATTTTGGTCCTTGCCATTGTTCAAAAACGATAAATCTTATTTTTATTTATTTATTTTATTATTTTATGAAAGATAACCAAACTTTTAAATTTCTACGTTTTTTAAGCAATAAATATTTAAATAAAGTGGGAATAACTCGAGTGAAACCCTGCTCTGAACACAATCAAGAACCTTTGTCATATTTTGAAACCTAAAATAACGAAGAAAAATCCCGGGACTTTGAAGGACGTCTAATACAATGACATAGCCCTAGAGAAAATCGATAATCGATTATATGCCAACGCATATTAAGGCTGCCATTACAATCAAAGGAGGCCCAACACAAAGCTAATTTTTAATTAAGTACATTATTTAACTAATACAATACAATCTATTCAAATATTAAACAAATTGTTTTTTCTTCGTATTAAATTTATCGCAAAATAAAATATATAATTTTTTTAGACGCAAAAATCCTGAAAGCTTAGAAATAATTGTTTTGATTAGCTACCATAATCAATTGATTACTTTGATAAAAGCAGGCAGATCAATGAAAATTAACAAAACAATTAAGTTTTCTGTTCGGATTTCTTTGTCCGCCACTGTAAATTATATACAAATACAAAAATAAAGACTTCTTTAGAGCAGCAAAAAGAATAACCAAATTTTGATACATTAAAATTTTTAAATCAATGCAATATGTGTAAGTATCTTCAAATACGTATACATATGTATCTACACACTAGTATAAATATATTCAACGCAATAGAGTAGGTCTATAAGGCTTCACAAAGAGTTTTGCCCGAATATTGGTGTCAATAACCCTCAAGTTGCATTTTATCCACTCACTGATGCTATCACCATCAGCTGCAGCTCCGGGAGACAAGTAAATCCGAAAAAGAGGCAATCTTCATGGGTAATTATAGGTTGAGTATATACACACACACAAACACTACTCGTACTTCAATGCCCATGCTGTGTAGTGACAGGCATTAAAGTGCAAACGGAAGCCTCAAAAAGGGCGAAGTGAAGGATGAAAAGTATATTAGTATAATTAAAGAATTAATCAATATACTATGCATATGAGACGAGAAAGTTGTACCACAAAATGCAAGAGGGACCGTTTCTTAGATATTTTTGGATATTTTATTGCGATTATACGGCGTCAACCAATAGGGATGACGTGATTTTGACGGCTCGTGGCGACCATGTTTGTTTACGGATTTGTGTCAAATTTTGTCAGTGTGTTCAGTAAGGTTTGCCATTTAATAATGACAAGTTTCACTTTGGTAGAACGCTTGGAAATTGTTTTACTACGCAATTTCACGTTAATCGAAAAATCATATTCTCAGATCAGAACCATTTCTTTCTAAATGGCTTCGTCAACTGACAAAATTGTCGTTATTACGGTGAGTCAAATGCTCGTGTGGTTCAAGAAACGCAATTGCATCTCTTTAAACTGTTTTGTGCGGATTGTGGGCCTTATTTCCTTCGAAATGAGGCAGGAACTGGCGTTACGATCAATAGCGAGCGTAACACGATGTTGACCGACTTTTTTCCCGGAATCTAATGAAATTGACGCGGACGATCTCTATTTCCAACAAGACGGTGCGCCGCCCCATGTTTTACGTCTAAACATGGACATATTGTTCAGATCATAAATTGCATAAAATGATCTGCACAACTAAAAAAAACAGCAGAATTTTGACCAAATTTGAGTGCTTTATTTCATTTTAACATCACGTCGTTCTTATTAGTAATCCCTATAGATTCCTTTAAAATATTATCGGAATTATTTTTTAGTAAGACTTGCTTTTATCAGTAAAACTTTGCATTTAAATTGAAATGTGGAGATTTTGATCTAGTTTTTAAATTTTTTTCAAATATTGAGCCTGCTACCTTCTATACGTTATCTTTCTAATATGAATTATACCTGAAATAAGAAATACGAAATCAAACAACAAGTGCAGAAAGAAGCACTTATGTTGCTTCGTTGCATAAGAAAATGATTTGTGACAAATTTGGAAGCAATTGCTTGCCAATTTCAAAAGCACTTATGTAATCTTAGAATTGCATAGATACTTGTACATCGATGTATTTTTTATATATGCATATACGAGTACATATACATATAGATATATGGGGAACGATATGTTGCTATTTTAATAATTGAAATTTGTTAAAATTAATAAAATTACTAACGTCTAAGCTAATATAAGCATATGTATACATTTATTACATATTGTAAGTAATTGGGTAACGCTGTGAAATATAATTACGAATATATCTTTCATCAATCTTACTATTTCCTATGCTGTGATACAAAAAGTTGTAGGTAACAAATAATAGTTTTAAAATTTTCAAGACTTGTAAATAGGAAAGATTTAAATTAAGGTTATAATCCAATTATAGTTTATTATAATCTGTATGATCTATAAATAAACGATTTGGTAGCTTGAAATCGTTGAAATGCATCATAATCAATAAAAAAGAGAAGAGAGTAGCTCAATAAGAAATATCGCTTTCTTAAAGGCTTAATAAATCAACTCACTATAACTCTGTTAAATATATCGAAATAAACGATCTTATTTCTACTCATATGTACTTTATTTAATATTTAGCATGAACAATACTTTGCAAAGTATATACATACTTATAATAAATAACAAAACAAAATTTTGATTCGTTCTTCTTGATTAAATGCCAAATTTGAGGATATATGAATGATATCACATAATATCTGAAACTAGTCACGAACTTATTAACTAAAGAGTGTTAAATCTTTATTTATTCCACTCTCGAAAGGAATATGTATAAAGTGTATATTCCGACCTACGTCACTAGGAATCGAGTTGGCAGTTTGAACATAGTAAATATTGCTTTGAATTTTACTGACCACACCCCTAAATTTTACAATTACACAATACTTCACTGTTATTAATTATTATTTTGCATATTGTTGTAAGTACAATATTATTAGCAGACCACTTTTAATATTGCAATTTTACTAAAACAACAGCATTGAGGAAGACAAAATATTAAGAAACTTACCTTAATTTTCATTACGTAATTTGATGGCACAAAACCAATATTGCCTTTCATGCTAACTACTTGCCACCAGTTCCGTTGACGTGCTGAAGTCTGGTATAGTATAAAGTATTCTCCTTCATCGAAGCTTATCGTTTTGGGATAGACCGCCTGGAAGTCGTAAAGTGCTTTAAGCATTTCGATGCTTTCTACGCGCAAGAAGCCCAAAGATATTCCAAGAAATGTAAGCAACGAAAATAGAAATATACAGGATATAATTAAAAGGAGTGATTGGTCAATTTATTTTAGTTATTTAATTGATAAATACATAAGAGACAAATATGACAGGTAAAATGTGAATAAAAGCAACACAATCGAAATAACAAAAGCACGTCTGCAGCAGAAGCTGCGGCCCAAGGCACTAAGCGCGTTTATTTCCAATTCGAAGCTTCAAATACTTGTCCGATTTGGCAAGTCAGAATGCGGAAAGCAGAAGACAACGGTGTGAAATTGCCAAATTTGCTCATAATGCAATTCTCACACCAGCACCGCCCCCCATTACCACTCAACACACACGTACGTTTTTTAGTTTAGTAATTGTATACATCCTGCACCACGATTATTAGCCACGCTTTTTTGCATTTCGTTTCCTTATTTACTTATAACTTACCCATTTTCTAGCCAAGGACGTAAGTTGGACTTCTTGTTTTTATTTCTCTTTTACATTGACACGGTGTGTATTCTTTAAATAACAATATAGGGAACGCTAGGCGTCAGCACATGCGATGCAATAAAGTCCTTTAAACCAAAACTTATTATATATGTAAGTATGCACACTTAAAATTATTTTGCTTCAAATTTTTTCCGAATTTTTCAAATTTTGTATACAACTTATTCAAATTAACATTCACTGAAAGCAAATAACACATATTTTTCACATAGTTAAAAATTATACGTCCAGATTTTCTAATCAAACTAATTTTTTCCAAATGCCACATATAAATGATATGAAGGCAAACAGAGAATCATACACAATGCCAGAAAATTTACCCACCCATTTCCTATAGGTTCTGGATTAAAAGGATACCGTAATGAAAGTCGGGAATCAAAATAAAGAAAAACCAAATGAAATAAAATGTCAAACTGGATCTGTTCAACCACAGTGGCAGAGTTCGATAACAAAGGATAGCGAAAAATAATGTATTGCTACGTTCAAACAAGTTGAACAACATAACTTCCTTAATAGCTAATTTAGAAAGGCTTAGAATAACATTTAATATTCTGTAACGAATAGAATATTCCGATTCGACAAATTTGATTCCAAAGAATATTTCTCTTTCATTTTGATAATATATACGTATTTCTATCATGTTGAACGAAGCCATTTTTATCAAACTTAATAAGTGGCATCTCCAATGTACAAAAAGTGCTAAACACTGCTGAGACATGTGTTTATTTGTTGTTTACGAAAACGTTTATTAAGTAGCCGGAATTGTATTTTTTAACAAAGTTATATTCTTTATATATTGAAGTAAATATTTATAAATGTCTAAAATTGTAGAATTGCGTCCTGATCGTAATCTCATACGGAATAATTTCGATGGGTATAAGCTATCATTAGATCCGGTGCCACTGTTGCGGCAGGAACTGTCCCACCTTCCTTTTAGAGCTGAGCCCAATGAAGACCAGTATGTACATATATTCCTTAACCGATTTTCAACTTGCTTTATATATATAGACATTCTTAAGGTATTCTCTATTGCACGCGGAACTCTTCTCCATGCAAAATTTGTTGCATGTAGACCCTTGGGCTCGTACAATTTCCTATTACATTAGTCGACACGGAAAGATTACAAGGGCTTCTTATAATGAATCAACCGGTCGTGTTGAATCAATGCAAATCGTTTATAGCCTGAATACGGCTGATATACGTGTGAAAGGAGACTACAATTATTCCATGCGCTTTATATCTGAAAAGTACTGTGTTTTATGCGATGGTATCCAAAGCATTTATTTGTTCGACACCAAAGATCGTCTTAAGGCATCTGAATGGATATTGATTGCCGAAAAGAGCTTAAACAATGAAGCACTTGGTGAACGTAATTTTATGTTATTTGATTGCCGATTAGATATTGTGCACGAGAAAAAACAAATCAGTATGGTAATTGGTAGAATTAAAAGGATAGACAACTGCCCTACAAGTGGATCAAGTCATTTCATGCACTTGTATTGGGGGAAATGGATACAAAATGAAAGCTGGGAATTTTCAATAATTGACACGCTTGAAGGTAAAGGATCTTTATATTACTGTGCCTTTGAACCGCGTGCAGAATCCCTGATTATATGCTCGAATCGTGAATATAGTTTTCGTTCTAAACAAACGAATGGTAGTTGTGAAATTATTGTTCAAAAAGCTGTGCTCCACGATGAAAATTATGAAATTAGCGGATTCACTTGGACACAAACCGACGATGATATCATAATAAAATTTGACGCTAAGGAAGGAAAAGAAAGATCAGATTACAACATAAAATACGTCGCTAATAAACTCATTGTGAAAGTAGGCGAAGTAGTGCTTCTTGATAATGAGCTATACGATAAGATTGATCAAGATTTGACGACATGGACTATCGTATGATGTTTATATTAAATGTAAATATCATTTACTAATTTTGGTTATTTTTAGGAAAACAATTATTTACAAATAACTCTAGTGAAGCAAAATCAATCTTCAAGCTGGTTATCACTTCTCCAAAACAATGTTGGGCCTAAAGAAACTTTCGATGACAACACACAATCCGATTTGTCTATAGAGCAAAAGCCTATTGCAAATTTAGAGGCTCCTATCGAAGATTGCGACTTTCCCATAGCTACTATCGACAATGAAATCAAAATTGGTGAGTAAGCATAGTTTGTAAACCATTTTAATTTAATTTTCTTATGTATCTATAATATGAAGGTCGTTATCATATGCCAACTAAGTCGGTTACACATGCTCTTTTGTTTGGTTCAACGCCTCCGATATTTTCCACTATTTTGCGTCCCGGGTTTCCTAATGCTTTGGCAATACGACAAGACGTGGATGCTGGGCTTTGGTTGCAGCAATACAATCCATCGAAACCTGATGATTGGTCTCTTCGACATGAGGGAAACTTGCACGCGTTTGGATATGTCCAAGCTTCCAAGCAACAACGAAAGTTCATTGATTGCTCACCAGATTTAAACTATGCTATCATTTGTGAATCCCATCGACATATTTTTCTTTATAAATCAAATTACGACGGAGCGGATGGATTGAGAAACCGTAATGGTCCACAAGTTAAAATAGGCAAGCAGCATTTAATAACCCTTGAAGACGCTGGCGAAGTATTAGGTTTAGCGACAGCTGAGCAAGTAGTGACAATACTTACTGAACGTTGTCTTTTACATTTGCAGTTAAGTTAACTAAAGTAATATACTTATATAGTTTATAATGCAAAATAAATTTTATATGAAACTAAAGATGCTTTCTTATATACCATATAGTTAGTTAGCAAGTTATTAAAAATATTAGCCTTTAACCAGAGCTTCTTTCATAAATTAATAAGTGGTTTATTAGCTTATAACAATTGGGATTCTATATTAGTATATCGCTATAACACGATCCCTGAATAACTATTTAGTAATGTGAGGACGGTACAGTGCCACATATACGTATAAACGCACTCTTAGTTTTAATTTTGCTAACTTTTCTCTTTCTTTGCATTGCACTAATTACAACAAATTCTCTCTCATATTGTTTGTTAAACTAACGGAAATTCGTATTGAGTGCAAACCCCCACTTTTGTTGTTGTTATATTTAAATCGTTGCATTTTAAATCAGATAGCAAAAACAGGCACATATTCGTTTAAAAGCATCAACTTAATTTTTAATAAGGCGACATTTATTTAATTTTTAATAATTTATTGGTCTTCCTTGATTGAAATTTTGCAGCAGCGTCCGGTCTAAATCTTCCCAAGCCTCCTTAATAGCCCATTTGAGCTCAAGTGTTGTTTTAAAGAGGTGTCCTTGAGCTTTTTGCGCGTAGATTTTTCGCGACATGTGCCCCCAAAGGTTTTCCACTGGATTCAAATCAGGACTGCATGCAGGCCATTTCATAAGAGAGATGTTGTGCTCTTCAAACCATTTCAGAGACTCTTTAGAGACATGGATGGCAGCGTTATCTTGTTGAAAAATGCTATCTTCATCCATTTTATCTTCCAAAAATGAAATGAGAGCGTCGTCCAACAATTCTGTGTATATTTTTGAGTTCATTTTGGGCGGCACAAAGCAAATTTTTGCTTTTCCTCTCGATGAGAAAGCAGCCCACACCATAACGCTGCCACCACCAAAGTTTCTCTTTGACATACGGACGTCATTGTTACGCAAGTCATGCCAGTAACAACTGTACGAGTCTGGACCATCCAGGTTGAACTTTTTTTCATCGGAAAACACAACATTGTCCCACTTTATTGACCACTGCATTTGCTCTTTGGCGAAGTCTAACCGAGCTTGTTTGTGGTACGGCTTCAATATAGGCTTGCACACCGGTTTTTTCCATTTTACGTTAGGTGACATGCGTAAAATGTGTGCAATGTGCCTTGTTGTCACCGGTAAATCCAACTTCTCCTTTATTTGAGTGGAGTTCAAAAAATGTTTTGTGGCTTCCGTTTTAATTTGGTTTATTTGGCGTGAATTTATTTTTATTGCCTTTCGTGGGATTTTTTACGTCATAATTCTCACGTTTTTTGAAAAAGGAGCGCACAACTGCCTCTGATCTTCCGATTCTTCGCCCAATCTCTCGATTTGAGTAACCTTCTTTATCGTCCAGGTTGATTTGGACCTTTTCACTGTCGTTTAAGTAACTGCCTTTTGGCATTTTAATAAAACCTTAAAAAAAAATATTATAACAACTTTTTTGAACTTTAATAAACGAAAACTTACCAAACTTCGGGTCGGCTTTAGTATAACGTCCCAGGCTTTCGGGGTTAAAATGGGTATGGGCGGATAGAGAAGATCCTCCAGATCAAGAATATATATAGATATAGCCGCGGGAAACTTATAGTTTCCGGGATATTTACGTTTAAAGTTGAAAATTTCAACTATTTAAAGTACGTATTTTTGCGGTTTAAATTGAATTATACACTTGTATTTTTCACTTTTATATCCACTAACACTTGACTAATTCGTTTTTAGAATTTTTTTTATATTAGATGCTGCAAAAATAGCTTTATTTCAATATTTAAATCATTCTTGAATTTTATTAATTTTGACAATAACATAATGGTTGTGAATGTCAAAACATTAGTGTTGCCAGACACATATATTTTGTAAACGAAGAAAAATAAAATAAATAGAGATTATACCCTAGATACAGAAAACAACGCAAAAAGAATTTCCGCGCGTAAAAACCTTGGTACACCCCGGTGTTGGACCGACCAGGGTTATTTTTTTTGAAGCGCGGCCGAAGGCCACCAACGCAAAAAGAAGTTCTGCGCGAAAAAACCTCAGTGTTGGATAAACCAGGGTTATTTTTTTGAAGCGCGGCCGAAGACCGCCAACGCCAAAAAGAGTTTTACGCGAAAAGACTTGTTACATCCCGGTGTTGGACCGACCAGGGTTATTTTGTTTGAAGCGCGGCCGAAGGCCACCAACGCAAACAGAAGTTGTACAAGAAAAGTAATCGGATTGTGCAGCAAACACAGTTCTAGTTAGTGTGTTGTCGTGATAAGAACAATTGAGACATAAGCAAGAAGTTGTAAGCTTGAATAACGAGCAATAAGTGTTAAGTTGTTGGAATTAGAAATAAAGATAAGTGTATAGCCATTAAATTGGGACTTTTATTTAACAATCCAGTGATCGAACTCAAGAGTGAGTTACAGGTAGACGATTTATCGAGAAATCCGTTACAGTATATATAAAAATACAGGGTGTATTTCTAAAAACAAAACGTGTACAGTATGGCAACATTATAAGAATGTCTTAAAAAACAAAATGTCAGAAAGTTTTTTATGTTTTTTGGCAGAAGCAGCAGTAAGCAAAAGCACCAACGACAACGGGCATGCGGTGGAATTGGAAATAAATCTTTGCGGTGGCTATCACGGAATTGCATAAATAGCGAGTCTATCGAACAACGTGCTTCACAATCTTGAGAATATTAAACAATTTGGAGGTGCGGAAAGTGTACAGTTTTAGTTGCGCCCGGGGTAACAGAGCAACAGTTTTAAAAAGTAAATGAAAAATTGTGTAAAAGTTTTATAACAAATGTAATATACTTTACAGCAGAGGAGCACCGCAGTGAATTTATTGTGTGAACGTGTGGTTGAAGTAACATTTTTGATTTGTTGTGGACAATCGTCTATTGTATTTGCCACGAACAAACCCTTCCTGCGAAGCCGATAGTAAAATCTCGGCTGTGTGAGAACCATATAAAATTCTTGCCTGTGTGTAGAAGAGTGAGTGAGGTCATTCAGTGGATATCTATAAACGTAAATTTCAATATAGGAAACTAGTGTGAGGATTCTATACGTCGTATACACAAAAATTAAACCTATAGTCGGATACCGAAAGAAAATAAAACAGAAATTCTAAATTAGAATTGTGTAAATAATAAACGACGAAATAATAATCTATATTACCGATTGAATTAGAAGAGTTTGAAAATAGATCCATAAAACCTTTAGCAAGAAATAGCATTTCGTCATCAGACCAAGTTTAGAAAAAGGGCACGAATATTGCATTTCTGACCGGCATAATATTACACAATAAGCACACGAAACTACACATTATATAGTTGGAAAGTTCGTACCAATAATTACCTACATTTAAAAATTTTTAAATATACTTTCACGTGCCCGTAGCTATACGGGAACTGGATATATCATTATTTGTTTAAAGTGCAAAGAAGCAGGTGCATATTGCGGCCTTAGTATTTTTTAACAAAGTACATACTCACCAGTTATAAAGTTATTAAACGGTAAGTGTATAGACCTGTATGTTATAAAAATGATGTTTGAAAATGATTTATAATAGTATCATTAATACTTTTTGTAGAATGTTTCTGGCATGAGCTTTTAATTGTTTAAAAAATCGATGGCAAATTGTCTGCTATGTATCTAGCTATATTAAATTACTTTGTAATTACTGTTATGCGTATTAGTAGACATGCTATATGTGTACACTCTAATAAGCAATATAACAACGAAAATTGAAAATAAATACCATTGAACATTCACGCCGTATATAGTATTGCGGGTAGTGGCCCAACAAGTAACTCAGTTAACCTTGACTTTAGTTTCAATTCTGTTTCTTTTAATTTACACTTTTGTTTTGTGTATTAGTGAAATTGCATTGATGCTACAACTTTATTATTAGTATATACGAAATATATGTGTTTTTTTTTTAATATAAATTAACTTGGTGTCTGCAGGCACATATAGGCTGAAAATGTATATTTGAATATAAGAAACATATTATCTTTTGATTTTACGTATGTATATTTAAATGTTTTACTGACGGTTTTATTCACACGTTTGAATTTAAAAATTAATATGTACCCATTGATTTAAAGTACTTTTAAAAACTTTCCAATTTTATGTATTCTTCATACAAAACTTAAAAAAAAAAGTTTATAAATCAATAGATAAACAGAAAAATAGTTTCAACATTGACTTTAAAATAACGTACTAAATGAACAAAAACTTTTTTCCTGTCACCTAATTATAAAGTGTTAACCCTTTTAGTACCGGGAGCCGATAAATCGGCTCGCGTCTTGTAGCGGTTTACTACTCGCATTGCGGGAGAACTCTAACTCAAAATAAATTTGTAAATGAATAATTTAATATTATTACAAGATAATTAAAAAGAATATTTTTTTTGTTTGAGCTCTTTGTGGACGAGATTTTTCAATCGTTTGTAAAACTGTGAAATTCGGACGTTTTTTTCGCATAGGCACCTCTATTTCGCCCGGCACTAAAAGGGTTAAGGTTAAGAAGTTTAATGCAGAATTAGATGAAATTTAAAAAGGCTTATGAAGTTTCGGCTTTTGTATTTATCTTTTGCATGTGTTTCTTTTCTGTGAAATTTATTTATTTTTCTAACTTAGTTTTCGTGGCACCATAAATTTGTATACTTTTATATGGGATTCATAAAATGGTGTTATTGATAAAATTAATTTGTTTGTTTATACATTAAAACAGCTGTTTAAATAAATATCAAGACGTAAGTAAAAGGCACGCAAATCGTTGCCCGATAAGAGGAGTGAAAAACCAAAATATCCATATAAAATATTTATGAAGTTTATAAATAAACAGGTTTTCTGAATGAAATGCGATATTTATCTGGTAAAAGTTAAATATATGAAAGTTTTAGTTTTATAATGCTTTTCATAAAATACATGTTTGTGTAACAAAAACTGTTTTCTGACTCGTATAAGTACTTTATTTTAATAATTTAATATATTAATTAATTATATAGTTTGATT